GAAATTTTAAAATTTATAATAATGTTGGATTTTGTGTTATTTTCTTCTAGGAATAAGTTTTTGATACTTGTTGGCCTCCCTTTGTTACTTGATATAACTTCTTGTATATCTAATGCTTTGTTTTTTGTTAAATTCAGCTACATATCATAGGAACCTTATTATGGTGGCTTCATAAAGAAAGCGGTTGATTTTTCCTATAAATGAGTGTCAAGGTAGGCAGTTGAAGACTTGGGATAGGTTCCATGGTGTCATCATGGTCCAAGCTTCTTTTACCTTTTACTTCTGCCACTTTTAGACTGTGGCTGTCCTTCTTGTGGACTCACGGTAGTTCTGACTTCTCTATACACTGTAGAAAAGGGGAGAGCAAAGCTTGAAAGTCTTTCATTGCATTGAGGTTACAATAACTTCCTCAGAATCTCATTTACTTAATTCTCATTATACTTTATTGGCCAGAATGATGTCACACGACCACGCCTAGAATGTGGAATCAGTTTTGTTTTTGTTGCTGTTCATTTTGTTTTTCAAGTTAGAAGTTTTGCTACGCTAAATAAAATTGACTCTTAGTCAGTAATGGTTGTTGGGTAGGCAACTAGCAGCATCTACTCAGTGTATTTGTTTACTAGATCAAAAAGCAGATACCGTATTTTCTATCTAGTGGCTACTCTTCCCTGCTGCCTTCAACTCAAAGACTGGAGTTGTGTGCTGTGTGCTGTAAAAACAGTTTTATGCTGAATAAATCAGTCTTGTGTGCTAGAAATGTATTTAAGACTGGTTCTCAAGGTTTATCAGGTAGATAGAAAAATCATATCAGACACTGAGTAATGAAACAGAGAAAATTTGTCCTTATTCCAAAACAAATCATAATTGAATATTGAAAAATTAAGAATTAGTAAAGATTCTCAGGAGCCAGAGACAATAGGGTCATGAGTTCAAGGTTAGCCCAAGCAAAGTTAGTAAGACCCTCTCTGAGAAACAAAAGGGGTGAGAGCATGGTGCAGGTGGTGGAGTGCTTACTTGGCATGAGATGGGTTCGATCCCCAGTACTGGAAAAAAAAACCGTAAATGGGTAAAGTAAAAGCTCATAAAAACATGTGCATCCTATTGGGATTTGGGGTATTCAAATATTAAGAAAATCAAGTATTTTAAAACAGTTAAAATTTCTTGGTGACCTTTATAAGACCATGTTAAGATCTAGTTACTTATTCCTTGGTTCACACAGTCATTCATTCAATGGTAGGTTTATTTTGCATTCCTGTCCTGCTCAGTGCTGTGCTGGGATATGCTTTATAATTTTCTTGACCCTTTATCGATCCTTTCTTGCTCAGAACCCACAGTAGGATCTCTGTTCTAGTAGTCTATGACTTATAGTCTACTGTGCAGACTGCCCTTAAAAACAAGTCTTCAGTGCCTTACCTGAACTCTTCAGGGCCAGATATATTTTTGAGTTCACAGGGTATTTTTTCTTATTATTTGAGGAAAGTAATATGTGTAGATGCCATAATACTGCAGAGTCTACTTTAAAATTTCTGAGTGTTCATATCAAATAGGATAAAGATCCTGTACAGCATCCCATTGATTCAGTTTTCTATTTTGTCACCAGATGAGTTGGAAAAATCTTTTCACTTTTCAGAGCTTTTTTAGATTTCACAGATTAGAAATTGAACACTGGTTTGGGAGAATTGTGAAATTGCTTAAAATATCTAGGAAGTTCCCTAAAAGAGACACTGTGCAACAGAAACTACAGTGGCTGTCCAGAATGGTGTTGAATTGTAACTATTCTCCCATGCTCGAGTGGCTCAGTTTTCTCCTCTATCTGAATTCCTGAAGAAAGTCTGTTGGAAAATGGGAGTCTTGAGAAATCCTTGCTGGTTGGGCAGTGCAAAGGCACCGTGTTCTTTGAGCCCAAACACATTCATGGATTGATTCTAAATCTTTGCTGGACTTCCCTATCTAGTGTGCACCAGGTCAGAATTCACTTCAGTCTGTTTTTAGTTTCTCATTGTATTCTTTCACCTCCTGAAGTAATATTTTTGCCTTACACATATCCCATCAGATAGTTTTAAGTTTATGATAGGTTGCTTTAAACAATGCAATTGTATATTAAGTACCTTTTTAGAATGTAGAAGTTTGAAGAAAAATGTTAGTAGGCTTGCGTCAGTCCCACACATTGATTTAAGTGCTGTATGGTGTGGGGTTTGCCTCCTTAGTGTTTCTAAAGAATGAATTTTTAAAATCATTCTTTTTGTCAATTTTACATGGACTCAAAACAGTCATCCTTCTCAAGGTCTTATAGTAAGTCTGGTTTCTGTTGTTGTTCCTAAATATAGATTGAGATTTTTTTTTGTGGCAGTGATTAAGCAGATTGTATTTAAAATAGTGGTTTTATCTCTTGAAAAGGAATGGCAAAATTGTTAAGTGTTCAGAGAACACCGGCCTAAATTGCTTGGTTAGCCTATTTTAATTGCCCTTTTATTCTAAGTTTTTACACAGTGTGTTTTAGTGTGTGGTTTGTCTGATAAAATTCAGACAACTACTTGGGGCTTACAATTGTCCTATCAAGGGCTTAAGCAGGGAAGTGCAGATGAGGGAAAATATTTGCCTGTATATGTAGAATTACGATGAGATACTTTGATACCTCACAATATAAAGGCATAATTATTAGCATGAGGACACCATTTAATATAACCCAAGAAGGATTATAATAATTTCTAGTTAAGATATTTGGAAATGCATAACTCCATAGAATCTAAGAAAAAATTTGAGAAGGAAATGAGGTAGTGTCAAAGAATAGTTGGTGGTGTGTCTGCCAGATACTGTAAATTTTAAAAGATTCTATTGTTTTAGCTGTGGTGCCTGTTTTGTCACTGACTAGTTACAGTTATGCAATGTACTGTGAAAGTGTAAAAGTAAACTAATTATCTGGAATATGAGTGATTTTAAGTGCTTTTTATTGGGGTTTGGGTTATTGATGATTATATGAGAGAGATTCCCTGGTCATTTACTTTTTCCAGTGTCTTGCGAACTTAGTTGTCTATCCGAACTCTGCCTTTTTGGGGACTACTTCTTCTAGTATCCATCATGTCTTCTGAAATTGCTAGCATAAAGCTAATAAACTGCAAGCAGTTCAGAGCATAGAGTGAAGTGATGTGGTGTATTTCAAGGTCTTCCATTCTTCTGAACCAGATTTTTTTTCCTTCTAAATGCAGATTAATAAAGCGTGCACTACAAGAGGAACAAGGAAAAGGATTTTAGTGAAGGTATCCTGATCCTGAAAAAGTCAGGGAGGGCTTCAAGCCCATCTTGGACTTCAGAGCACTTCACAACTTTGTGGTAAAAGAAAAATTTTAAATAGAGCCTTTGGACTGACTTATTTCATCCTTATTTGGAGAGTAGCTTTATTTATTTTTTTTTTGGCACGAAAATCATATATGAAGTTGGGCTACTTTTCAAAGTAAGACATATCTGGATTTCAGATTTGTTGTAGGTACTTAATATATATACTTAAAGTAATACAGGTAGTTGGTTGGTTTGTGTGTTTTTCTTCAAAAGTGTTCTTGTGACATTGTGTTTGCGTTCACTGTGAGTGATGTTTTCTCTAGTGTTGTGCATTTTCTTCAATTGGTTCATTGGACTGTATAGTAGGAATTCTTTCCTAGGACCAATATTGTTTCTAAAAGTGTTTTGAAAATAGAAAGCAGTTGTTTTGTTGTTTTCATATTTTTATCATTTGTATGCTTACTCACTAATATGAAGAGATACAGTACCAATAAAAAGTTGTTGTTTTCTCCTCTGTTCACCTGGAAAACTTGGACAAGATAGATTTCATTTGTCAACAAAGATATGTTGAGTGAATATGAACATACTTACCATTTCTGTCTTTTACAACAAACGACCTTATCTTACTGTGTTAGCTTTTAAGGTCTTTTTTATTTGTGAAAACCATTCTGCTTGTGTACTGTATGTTCTTCCAAAGTTGCAGCATTTTATTCATTGGAGAAATGAAGTTTTCTTCCAGTAGATGAAAATTACATTTTGATTGAACATCATTCCTTATGCAGTCACCCATAAATATAATGTCTTTTGCTGTCTTGTCAGAAAATAGCTACAGATGTGATTTCTGAATTGACAAGAAAATAGAACATCTTAATGTTTTAGGTAAAACAGATGCTATTTTCATCTTAGGCAAAACTCTTTCAGAATGAAAGCAACTTAATTGGTGACAAGATTCCTGGGGTCAGCCAAATTATATACAATTTTTTTCTGTCTGTTTCTATTGCTTTAATATCAAAAGTTTTAGAATACTTAGAAATGAATATTTATCCTTTTAATTGACTGTTTTCTGTTGTGCATTGGATATACTTACAAGAATTTTCAGTCCGTTTTTGTTTCTAAAAGTTGTAAGATTACACATTAGTTCTACATTGGTCACATGTATAGTTTTAGAAATGATTTTTACAGTGCAGAGAAACCCTGAAATTTGTAGTTCTGCTTTTGAGGGTTAATAGTTTATAGAATTGAGTTGCATTTGTTATTACAAAGTGTGATGACATTTATGATACTCTTTTATTTTCGTACCATTGAGCTTTGGGAGATCACAGTAACAGTGTTGAGAAGGGAGCCCTACACTGAGAATTAGGGAGTTGATTTTAGTCCCATATCTGTCACTAACCAGCTTCCTGTTCTTTGGAACTTCAGTTTCATTTGATATTTATCTTCGGTAAGGTAGGGACTGAAATAGGTGATTTCTATGGTCATATCCAGTTGATATTTATTTTTCTTGTCAAAGGATGAAGCTTTTTAAGACATTCATTTGGATAAACATCAGGAAAGGAAGTTTTGTGGTGAAACACTCAACTCTGGAAAGTAACATACTATGTCAAAAGCTAGTACACAAGATAAAGAAACTGGGGTCTAGAATATACCATTACTACAAAATAAAGACCTATTATGTGGCCTGTTTCCTTTTACCGCCTCTTACAAAAGAAGGAATTTACAGAAAGAGCTGCTTGTGTTGTCATCCCAGAGACCAGAGTAGCAGCCTGATCTTCATAACCTCAAAGATATCTTCTTGACTCAGTCTTGCCCAGGCAGGTAGGGGACTGTAGAGTAAAGGCTCTTTGCAGGCAGCGGTGGGTATAGAGCTATCTGACGAGGCCCTGTTCAAAGAGGCACTGAGAGGGGATGAGATGCTCAGTGCTGCAAAGGACACCTCTGTGCTTGGAGCCTATGCATCCTGAGTGCCCTACAAGAGGACAGCAGGGCCACCTTACTGACCTCCAAGCTGCCTCAGAGCTTCACTGATGTAATTGGAATCCTGGGTCTACAACTAAAATGATTATACAATCATGATCAGGATACAGAACCATCTTATATAGCTGTAAAAGGGGCACGATTTTAAGGCTTGACAGGATGATTGTAAAGTAAGCTGAATGAACCAAGTTAATTCAAGTAAAACTCATACCGTGTGCTCAGCACTGTTCTAAATTCTCATTAAGTTCCAGCTGTTGAAATTAAGATCTGAAAAACTCTCTACCACCATCTAAATCAAATTTATTTAGGTTAAAATTTTTTTTAATCCTTTAATACAGTTTTGTATTTGATTTGCTGCTTTGTCTCTCAGTAATGTGAACAAACATAATTCATTGCCCAAGTAGTAACTTTTAACATTTTTCTGAAATATTTACTCAGTATTATACTGTTAAGCTGAGAACTTTCATTAGTATTATTTTATGGAATTCCTGAATTTGAGAGCAGTAAAACAGTTGCAGAAATTACTTAATAGCAGTTTTAGAAGCAGTCAGTACTGTTTTGTGAAGGTCAACATTGTTTGCATTTGATTACACTGCAGTGTTATTTACCTTCCCTTTTGAGTCTTTTTTCTTGGACTTGACTCTCCATGAGATGATACATTCATAATATTTTCCTTGAGTTTTGAAAAAGTTATTTTCCCTAAATTTGTGGCAAATGATGAAATAAAATTTCATTTTTGGGAAGATCATGTAACATTTATGTACTGCTATACTCAAGCAAAATTCCAGTTTTCATTACTGATAAGAGCATTCTCTACTTTAACGTTGATTGTTTCTTATTTGATTAGGCCATATTTGTTACTTAACCAATTAGCTACTTCAGATACCATCATTTTTAGTTTTTTCCCTTTCAAATATAAACTTTCATATCTAGAAATTGAAAATAAGTGTGATTGTTATTGTATAGTTCCTAGAAGGATTTTTATGGTAAACAGCTATATGTTTGTGGCCTATTATGTAAGAATAGATAGGTTTGTAAACCTGGAAACCTCAGAACTGTGAAAACTCTTGTACGTATGTTCATGTCTCTAGTGAATGGGGTCCAACATAGGATGTTCAAAGATTAAAAAATAAATAGAATTTACAAAGGTTAAGCATGACCACTGTGACCAATGTAAGGAACTATCAATCATTTGCCTTTTAGAAAGTGTAGACTTTATTTGTTTCCCTTTATTGTCTACTGTATGCCCTTGTGCTGGGTTGGTGGGAACTTGGGCCCATGGAAGTGGAAGGAAGAGGGCAACCTCTGGAGGGGACTGAGGGTCAGATATGCTCTTCCTGTTGCGGTTAACCCACCCCTAATCTCCAGGACTCTAGATTTTCTTTTATGTGTGTTGGTGTGAAAGCCTTTAGTCTTCATGAGTGTAAACCTGGGACCAGTTCGGGAGGGGGGAGGGTAATGTGGGGATGAATATGTTTGAAGTATTTTCCTATGCATGTATGAAAATAGAATAATGAAACCCACTAAAATTGTTCAGAAAGTGGGGAGAGAGAATAAAAAAGAGTAGTAGAGAGGGTGAATTTGATCGAAGTATGTTATATGCACGTATGGAAATATCACAGCAAAACCCCTTTGTACGGTTAATGTATGCTAAAAGTATTATGGGAAGGCAAAGTCTAGTCTTGGTGGTACGGAACTGGAACTTCGCCTCCGTTTTCAGTAGCAATAGTATAACCTGGTGCATTAGTTTTCTGTTGCTACTGTAACATATTACCAACAAAATTAGTCTGTTTAAAAAACACAAATATGTTACTATGCAGTTCCAGAGATGAGGTCCAAAATCATTTTTACCAGGCTAACAAAGTGGTGACATGATTTTTTTTGTCCACAAGGGAAGAATCTGTTTCTTTGCCTTTTTATCTTCTAGAGGCCACCTGTGTTCCTCTGCCTGTCACTGTTCTCAAATATTCCAACTTCTTGCTTCTTTGGTAGTGTGACCTCATTCTGTATTGAATCCTCCTGTATCTTGGTATAAGGACCCTTGTTGAATATATTGGTTCCATCTGGATAATGTAAGATAATCTTTCTACCCAAGATCCTTAATTTAGTTGCATTTGGCTGAACTGTATTTTTCCATCTTAGTGTACCATTATAGATGGTATTACTGTTCTTACTGTTTCCTATAAAGAAGCATGGGTGACTGAGTATAGTCCAATTAACAGTTTTTACTTTTGTGTTCTTTTGTGTAGTCAGTATTCACTTATTTTTTTTCCCATATGTTTGACTTCCTTTGTGCTCTTCATGTTTCCTACAAGTTTTTAGTTTACCTGAAATTATTTTCTCTCAGCCTAAGGAACTTCGTATTTCATTTTGTACAGGTCTTCTGGTAAACAATAATCTCAGTTTTCTGTTGTCTAAAGTCATCTGTTTATTATCTAGAAAAGTTTTTTTATGGGTATAGATTTCTAGGTTGGCAGTTTTATTTGTTTTAAGCCACTTTAAATATTTAGTTCCATTGTCTCTGATATGTTAGCTGATGATCTTATTTGCTACTTTGACGTTCTCTTATTTTTACTCTCCACTTCTAAAATTTTGCAATTTTTGAGGGTTTGAGGGGCCTTAGCATGATATATAATGGTATATTTTCCTCCATTTTGGGGCTCACGGAGTGTTTTCTATTTGTGGATTATTGATGGAAAATTCTTAGCTGTTCAGATATTTGTAATGTGTCATCTTCTTTCCTACTTCCATGTACACACATCTTTTTAAATTGTTTATTCATTTATTCATATGTGCATACATTGTTTGGGCCATTTTACCCTCTTCCCCTCCCTCCCCTCCCCCTTTGCTTCCATGCAGATCCTGTTCTGCCCTCTTCTCCAATTTTGTAGAAGAGAAAAACATAAGCAATAATAAGAAAGACATAGCATTTTTGCTAGCTTGAGATTTTTGCTAGCTTTGAGCTATCGAGAGAGATTCCTAGCATTGCTTCCATTGGTTCATCTCTACCAGACCTCTTCACTACTTCCCAGTCCCCTTTTCATAGTGCCTCTGTCAGTTTAAGATCACTTTATTAGTTCCTCTACAGTGGGCACATCAACCACATTCAAGTTTTAGGTTTCCTTCCCTTTCCCTATTCCTTCTGTACATGTTCTCCCCTAGTGTGGGACCCACGAATAATATTACTGCATTTGTTTTAGTTCTATAATCCACATATGAGGGAGAACATGCAATTTTTGGCCTTCTGAGCCTGGCTAACTTCACTTAAGATGGTATTCTCCAGTTCCACCCATTTACATGAGACTGACAAAATTTCATTCTTCTTTGTGGCTGAGTAAAATTCCATTATGTATAAATACCACATTTTCTTAATCCATTCATTGGTAGTGGGGCATCTTGGCTGTTTCCATAACTTGGCTATTGTGAATAGTGCTGCAATAAACATGGGTGTGCAGTTGCCTTTGGAATAACCTGAGTCACATTCCTTTGGGTCTATCCCTAGGAGTGGTGTTGCTGGATCATATGGCAGATCTATGTTTAGTTTTTAAAAAAGAAGCCTCCATATTGTTTTCCCAAGTGGTTACACTAGCTTACATTCCCACCATCAGTGTATGAGGGTTACTTTTTCCCCACATCCTTGCCAACATTTGTTGGTGGTGGTGTTTTGATGGTAGCTATTCTATAGGACTGAGGTGGAATCTTAATGTGGTTTTGATTTGCATTTCCTTTATGGCCAGGGATGGTGAGAATTTTTTCATGACATGTACTCACATCTTCGTTTATATGGTGAATCTTTTCAGTGAATTGCCCATGCCCCTGTTGCTCAGTTTTTTTGTGTCTCCATCAATTTGGGTATTTTTTTATTGACCTCTCTTCTGCTTAGTGAACTCTATTGTTAAACATATCTGCAGAATTAAATAAAAATGTTTGTTCTCTTAAAACTCAATTTGATTATGTTGTCATGTGTTGATTTCTATGGTGTAATTTTCTACTTTTGCATTTGCTTTGTGTTTTCCTCTTTCATTGGACATAGTGTAGAGTTTCTTTCCCTTTTTATTAGGGTAAAGTCTCATCAGCTAACTCCAGTTTCCCTCGTGTGTAGTTCTGGTTCTTTAATGATATTTTGTTTCCCTTGATGTTTAGTCACCTGGCTCTATTTTTGAATGCCTCATAATTTTGTTTTGAGTGTGAGACATAGTGTATACCGTTATAGAGGTCCAGAAAATATCTTGTAGAAGATGTTACTGTAATCTAGGACTGTGCTGAATTGATACTGATTCACTTACTTGCTTGTTCATTTTGGCCTTCCAGGTTTTGTTATGGCCTACTCCCTGATGGGCTCTAGAGCATCATGAAATGTCCCTGTTTTGCATTTCAGAAGCTTTCTATTTAGGTTTTAAGCTTCTCTTTTTGTGCAGCTCTGTATTTGGCACATGTCCTGATGAGAAATTCAGCTGTGTACCTGAAGCCTCGCAAATCCTCATCAAATGCTCTTGTGGCTTGTTGGCCCACCAGTAATTACCTTCTGGCTCTGTTCTGGGCTTTGCATCTAACTCCTGGCCCCTTGCTTGGTGAGAATTGGCATGCCCCATGGTGAAGATGACTTGTGAAAGGCCATTCACTTTTCTCAAGTTCTTTTCTCTCCCCAGCCTTTCTCTGTTGCCCTTAAGCAAATTATTACCATTTGTTATCTGGATCTTCTGTTTGGCTAGTAAAAGAGCTCTTTGGCTATCACCAGCTACTCCATCACTTCTTCCAGAAGTGGAAACATTGGTTTTTTA